CAGGCGCGCGCTGCCACGCCCAGCTAATTTTTGATTTATTGTAGAGATGAGGTCTCGCCAAGTTGTCCAGGCGGGTTTTGAACCCGCGGGCTCAGGCAATCCACTCACCTCAGCCTCCCAAAGGTGCGGGATTACAGGCTGAGCCACCGAGCTGGGCTGTTGTTTACTTTTTAAACTTTTTTTGTTAAGAAATTTCATTCTGTTGTACACATTTTTTTCCTTTGAAGAAAATGTCTAATGTTTTTTTCCTTCCAAATTTTAACTTTTGGAGCTGTGCTGGGGTAGTTTCCTGGACACTGGAACAATCCTCATAGATTGCTCTGTATTTTTTGTTTGTTTGTTTGTTTTGAGTTAGAGTCTCACTGTTGCCCAGACTGGAGTGCAGTGGCTGCTCTCGGGCTAATTTTTTTATTTATTGTAGAGATGAGGTCTCGCCCGCGAACCCACGGGCTCAGGCAGTCCACTCATTTTTTGTTTGTTGAAGATGCTCCCATGCTTCTCTGGTCCTTATAAAGCTCTCACCATGCAGAGTGGAGACCTGCCTTCCCTGCTGGTCTCTGAAAACAGAGTCCTGTTTATCTGAATGTTTTGAGTGTTCCTAATTGCTCTTACATTATGATTATTAGTTCATTATTTAAATAAAAAAATGAAAATTGGCTGGGCACTGTGGCTCAAGCCTATAATCCCAACACTTTGGGAGCCCAAGATGAGAGGATTGCCTGAGGCCACAAGTTCGAGACCAGCCTGCACAACATGGTAAGACCTCGTCTCTACAGTAAATCAAAAATTAGCCGTGCATGGTAGCATGCGCCTGTAGTTCCAGCTGCTTGAAAGACTGAGGTGGAAGGATTGCTGGAACCCAATAGGTCGACGCTGAGGTGACCATGAGCATGACACTGCACTCCAGCCTGGGCGACAGAGTGGGACTCCAACTCAAAAAAAAGAAGAAAAAGAAAATTGAATTGGTTATCAATAACTGACACTATGTAAACTAGTTTTTAATGTTTACTTAAAGTCACCACTATCCCATCTAATGTTTCCATTTTGGTGGTTGGGTACATGGGGCAGTTCTGGATACCTTAACTTCACTTTAATTTCTCTGTTCCCTTTCTCCAGGAAGAATACAGAAATTCCATGCCTGCATCCAGTTTTCAACAGCAAAAATTGCGTGTCTGTGAGGTCTGCTCAGCCTACCTTGGTCTCCATGACAATGACCGTCGTCTGGCAGATCACTTCGGGGGCAAGTTACACTTGGGATTCATTCAGATCCGAGAAAAGCTTGACCAGTTGAGGGTACGTTAATGTATTGTTTCTGGAGCAACTGGAGGAGTCTTGGGGTTTGCTGTCTTCACATTTCTTTAATTAAAAAAAACCCTATGTTCTTTTTTTTTTTTTTGAATTGGAGTCTCTGTCACCCAGGCTAGAGGGCAGTGGCACGCTCCTGGCCACTGCAACCTCAACCTGCTGGACTCCGGCGATCCTTCCGTCTCAGCCTTCCAAGTCGCCGGAACTATTAGCGTGTACTACCACACCGGCTAATTTTTTTTTTTTTGAGTTGGAGTCTCACTCTGTCACCCAGATTGGAGTGCAGTGGCTGCTCCCAGCCACCACAACCTCGA